AACCATGCACACCACCCCATAAACATCAGAGAAGACTGAATAATCTGGCTTTAAAGAGATGACTTATAAAAATGAATAAAGTACTTGTATCACTCATCACTTTACTGAATTACAGCAAGATGACAACAAAAATAAACTACACTCTAAATAAAAGGAGACTTGATCACAAATATAATCAATACTTACTGACGACGATGCATCCCAAGTATCTTCTGAAATTCTTTCAGTTCCTTCTCAAGGATGGGATATTCATATACATCATCTAACACATTCCTGTATATTGTCTACAAAACAAAACAGTATCTGCAAACATCTGACTCAAACATCTAAGGCATCATATCAGTGATATTTATGCAAGACCCATAAGGAGAGAATGTTCCTATTTAAATTTTCAGACTGGTAAATATTTGGCTTGCCTTTGGTGAAACACTGTATCATCACCAAGCAAGAGGGAAAAATGTTGACACTCATTAGCCCACAACTTGTGGCTGTTACATGAGATGTCGGTTAGGTCAGAAGAACACATTCCGAAGCACGAGAGCATACCATACCATCACTTATCCAAAATGGTAACAAATAAGTTCACTTCATTAAGGCTTTTTAAATGGAGAATGAGAAGATTCCAACACTTTTCCTCATGTCTGCATGCATTTTAAAGTGAGTTGATGTCTCTCAAACAACTTACTCCTAGTTGAAAACCAACAAATAAACTACATTGATAAATTTCAGCATGGCAGACATAACCGGTGTGTCCAAGGAACCTCCGCAACTTTGCCATTTTATTTCTTACCTTCCTAACTTTTCTCATTATCTACAGAGCATGGAGTTCTGTAAGTTTCATACCTGAAAGTAATGTTTTTGACATTGACTGTATTGACATTACAGATCTTCTGTTCAAACTATTTCTAAGGCATTCAAGGAAGACACATGTAAATCATTTTATATTATGGATTTCAAGAAGAAAATTTAAGTATGAAAAACTGTGCTTTATAGGTTTTGCTGTTGGAGCTTTTTAGACACAGTATGCTAATTAAACAATGCTGAAATGCATCAGAAAGTATTTAAATACCTTTAAAAATTGTTTTAAATGCTCATCTTCATGTAACCAGTCTTTGTAGAGAGAAGTCCACTGAGACACCAAATGCAGGACTTTTCGTTTTCTACAGGACACATCGGAGTCATCTTCTTTTCCTTGGTGGTTCTTAGCACAATAAGTACAGTAGGTTAAGGAACAAATACTATGTTCTCACTGAAACTCAAAAATTAAGTGGTGGAAAAAGCTTTGCAATAATTTCATTTGTTAATGGAAGATTTTTTCACTATGTTGTTCAGTTTTTAATATCTTATCCTGTCTGGAGCTTTAGGAGTTTCATCAACGTTTTGGAATGAAATTCTCAGTAACAGAAATGTCAGTTCATCCTCTGTGCCAACAGGATTTTTTCTCCTTTATAGATCAGAGAGGCAAGTCTATAAAAGTAAAATCAATTCAAATGGAATTATACAATGTTGAGTCATATCTTTTCTGCAGAACAAGGAAAAATCCTTTGTCCTGCACACCGATGCCAACATGAATGTCTGTGGGAAGGAGGACAATGCATCATTAACAACAAAAACCCAGGCAGAGGAAGTCAGTTTCTTTTTGCCTGCACAAACTACACCATCTGTAGAAATAACACAATTAAGATTTTAAAAAAAGGTGAAAGAATCTATTTCCACCTTTGTTCTCTATTCACAAAGCAGAAACACCAAATTACAGAAGATACTCACTTTGTACATTGTTCCTGTCCCTTCGCTATTCTTTCTTTTATTAGGTGAAAAGATTATGTTTTCAACACAAAAGGTAAAGACGTAAAAAAAAAAAAAGCAAGTTCATTTTATACCTAAAAGTTCATTCAAACAACACTCCATAAGTTATTGGAAATACGAAACTGGAAATACGAGAAAAAAAACTTTTATCTCAGAATGAGTTCGATATATATATTGTATTACATGATAAAAGGAGCAGAGATTGTAAGATACTTATTCTTCATTTTTTCTCTTCACATATTCTGAAATGCATTACATAGAGGTCTGGGTAGGATTTAATCCCATTTTAAGCCTTATTTTGTAAAAGCTATAAAGGTTTATATATCTTTCAACAAAAAGAGCAGACAACAGTGCAAGCTTTGTATATTCAACTTTAGAACAGAAATTTTCTGTTTCTTGATTACTCAGTTATGGGAATTCTAAATGTTTTAATCTGTGAACGTGTGTGTGTGTATATATATATATACATACATACATATCTCCCTCTATTTACAGGCACATGTCAATTAGGGGAACCCATATCCAAATTTGGATTTAATGTTTCGAGTTTGAGTCTTTTCCTTCACCACACTTTTGAGCTAAGAAAACAATAAACCTGATCTTTGAGAAGCTGCAGATTTGAATAAAATTCCAAGAACCATAAAACCTTATGAAAATTGGACTGGAGAAGAAGAGACTTTGAAAGATCAGCTAAACCAGGCCATCCAAGTCCACCCTAACTAGTCCACCCTACGAGAGGCTCAAGTATATCCTGTGTTATCCTTAGAATATATTTTCTAGTTTCTTCTTCCTAATAGTCACCAATATCAAAGATTCTACTGTCTCACACATTTTCCACTCCAGTGTTTATTTTCCTAAAGTAAGAAAATATATTTCCTAGTATCTAACATGAAACTGTCTTCAGCAATTCAACCTCACAGCCTCTTGTCTCATCTGGCATTGATATGGGAACAGATTCTTCCCTTCCTCTTTAAGTATCTGGAAGACTGTTCCATTTATAGTTTCCCTTTTTTCAGTAAAACCACCCTAATTCTTTCAATCCTTTGTAGGTCTTTTTTTCCTAGAATACTGGTAATTCCAATTGCTCTCTTCTGAAGTTTCTACTATTTGCTCATGTATTTCTTGGGATGCAATGCCAAAATCTCATGTGCAGTCCACCTTCTAAGCATGATACAGTGAATATTAGACATTTTTTCTATTTTCTCACCATTTTTATGTGCAACCAATAACCAGATAACCATGTGGGGTTGTATTTCAATAAAATCAATATGCAAAGAGCAAAACTTCTTAACCCCGGCATTCGATATAATGCTTGACAATACATAAACCTAGATGTAACTGAGTGGCCCCTGTTAATACAACACTTAATAAAAGGATATTGTCTCAGAAGTGCCTGGCACAAGTCATCAGTCGTCATGAAGACTGTGTACGTGAGAAGGAAGTCATCCAGGAGAGTTTCTGCAGAGGAAGACAAAAAAAGCCCAACAATACATTATAGAGAGGAGGAAGAGAGTATCTACTCCTGTTAGTGTCTATGGCAGGAATAGGACCACCTCCCCCAAAAAAGGTCCAAAACACATAGAATACATCAAGCCTTAAGTTTCTATCCTGGTTTTGCTGGGATGGAGTTATTTGTAGGGGAGGAATGGCAGCTAACAATATGTTGCCACTGCAGAGATCAGATCCTTTCTTTAATTAGCACATTCTCAGTTCTCAAAGAACCAACAAACATGAATATGCACATAATAAGCTACAGTTCAGGAAGCAATACAAAAGAGTGCTTATCACAAACACAGTCATCCTGTTTGGCTCTGCTGCAAGCAAAGCAACCTTTCCACCAGCTAAGTAGTTCTGGAAAGTCAGAAGAAAAGCTTTTAGTAATAGGAGAGAGGATACCATGATTGCCACGTACTGTGATTAACAACCATGCACAGTAGTTGAGAACCATGAAGTAAGTATATTGAAGTCTTTAGCTGGTTAGTCTTGTGGGCATCACTTAAGTGCTGAGAAGTTTTCCATAAGGTTTACTTAACTACATTATGGAAACTGGTTTGGGTCTTTTTCCTCCTGTGAGGAGGGGCAACCATGAGGACAGGATGCCTAGACAGATGGCAGACTCTCCAAAATCGGGCATATTGGGCTTGCCTGGGCAAAGCTCCAAGCATCCCGTTCTTACTGGACCTGCTTCCAGCACGAGTTGGACCAGATGCCTTCACAGATCCCTTCCAACTGAAATTATTCTACAATTCTTAAATAAATTTGCTTCCAATTTTAGTAAATTGCTCCTATACGATGTGTGATCTAGGAATGAACTTGTATTTGGTTCACAAACAACAGAACTTTTAGTTTTCTCCAAACGGACAAGAGAATTATATTGGTCTTTTTAACCCCTAAATAAAAATGTGTCTGGTTTTATGGTTTTGGTTTTTTCTTCTCAAAATGGTAAGAAATTCCTCAAGTTTTGAGGAGTTCCTGTTTACTGTATTTCTTTGAACTCCAGCAGATATACCGTGTGTTCCCTTTAACATGAAAAAAGGTTTGCAGCATCTGCTTTATCAAATGACAATAGAGTACAGACAGAGGCTGAAGAGTAACAGAAGTAATACTGGTTATATTGCAGAACAAAAAATACTTGACCAGTGTTTACCAGTGGCTACTAGTTAGTACAAATTCTCCATTTGTGACTGAAGTGGGAGATTTACAACTGTAAAGACTAACAGCCGAACCATACCTGACATGAAAAAGATAAAACTGAACCCTGATTTCCTTATTCTGATTTCTCACTGTTTGTGATCTGTTCCAGCCAAAAATAGTGCTTGTGTAGCTGCACACAATCGAGAACATCCCAAAAGCTTTTCACACCAAGGCTGTAATTTCACAATAATTTAGACCAACTTCAGTTACAGCTGCCTTCGACCTCCTCATCAGTAAATTACTGACCCCATAGCTGTGGTCCATGATGGCAATAAGAATTCATTTGTATATCACTGAAAGCCAGATATCATGTGGTTATCACATGGATGGATAGCTAATGACATCCCACCCTGTGAGCATAGAATTCAAAATACCTCTATAGTCTTTAAAAAAAATATCTAGCTAGATCAATGCATTTAACACAACAAGTCCAGAAAGATTCCTGATCTGAAGACACACAGCTAAAACCCCCTGCATTCAGAAACAAAACAATTAAATTCTTTATATTACACCATCATTGTTAAAAACTGTGGAAAGTATTTTCTCCGTATAAAAAGAATATTTTGTCTCAGTAAATGAAAAGACATTGTGAACAGCTTGTTCTCTATCTGACAGGTCATCTATTCATTCTGTTGCCCATCTTTTGAATGATACAAAGCAGCCATTAAAGTTGGAGGTTTCACAAACATTTATTTGGAAACTGCTGTTCTTGGAGTTAACAACCACGTTTCAGTTCTTCACAAAACTATGTGACTGTGCAGTTATCCTCAAGGAATCAAAGATACACTGAACTGATTATTTCCAACTTTCTACTCCATATAGGTGATATCTGAGTTTCAGCGATACATAGCCATGTGTTCAGAAAAGAAATTAAATACTAGCTAAAGCAAAGCAGGA